TGAGTCTCTCTGAGGTCTGAACAAGGTGCCCAGTCTTGTTCTGACCAGAGAGCAACTTGTGTCTGCAAAGCAGCTTGGCAGGGACTATGTGGGAAGGCACCTGGCTATCATTGCCGCATTCTGGAAAACCCAGCCTGGACTTGATTCGGGGTTTTGGGCCTGTGTAATGTAAACAGCAGGCAATGCGTCCAAGGGGAATTCCAGTTTTATAATCAGTGTCAACAAGTCCTAGGCTGCTGAATCCCAGTGGCATCACTAGGGTTGGCATTACCTGGTGCTGTAACTCATGGTGTCAGCCCTCCATTGACCTCCTCCCATTTGTTGTGTGCCTTCAAATTGTTTCTGATTTACAGTAACCCTAAGGAGAACCTATAATGGGATTTTCTTGGCAAGATTTGTTCAGAGGAAGTTTACCATTACCTTCCCCTGAGAGCATGTGACTTGCCCAAGGTCACCCAGTGGGTTTCATGGCTGAGCTGGGAATCGAACCCTGGTCTCCAGAGTTGTGGTCTAACACTCAAACCAGGATGCCACACTGGCTCGCACCTCCTCCCATATCACACTGTGCAGAATCCATAGCAATGTTTTATGTACTCATGTTACCCATAAATTGTAAATCTCATATATCACTTAACGTAATGGCAGTAACTTGTGACATTAACGAGTAGCAAAATTAAAATTATACCTTTCAATTACAATGTCATATGCACAGCCTAAATGTAATTAGTTTCATGTGGTTCGAGTGAAAATTTGGGAAGATGCAATGATTTTAACGAAAAATTTAAAAGAATATCTTTTTTTTTTAAATTAAAAATTAAATTAAAAAATACTTTTTAAATCCTAAGGCTTCTCCTTTTTCTTCCCACTGAGACTCACCCCACTCACACCATCTCTTCAGCATTTAAAGAGACACAGGCAAATGTGACAGCTCATGTCTGCCAAAAGGCAGATATTTGGGAGCAGTGGTGTCACCCCCGCTTTGGGTGTCACCTGCTGCAACCTGCACCACTTGCACCCCTCTTATGACTTCCCTGCTGGGTTCTTGTGACCCAAGGTTTTCTTTGTAGCAGTACCCCAACTGTAGAACATCCTCCAAGGGAGGTCAGTCTGTCTCCATCCCTTTTGAATTTCCAGCAAGCAGTGAAGACTGGGCTATTTTGGTTGCCCTTTTGCTCTTAACATTAGAGATGTTCGCTCTGATTGCTTTCAAAATTGGTTTGAGAGTTTTTTTCAAAGATGTTTTAACATTGGTCCAAAACCACACTGCAGAAATAATCCAGTTTGAGACCGTTTTAACTGCCCTAGCTCAATGCTAGGGAATGTGAGAACTGTAGTTTTTTGAGACATTTAGCCTTATCTGTCAGAGAGCTCTGGGGCCACAATAAATGACAATTCTCACAATTCCCTAGCATTCAGCCACGACAGTTAAAACGGACTCAAACTGGATTATTTCTGCAGTGGACCTTTGTTTTTAGAGCTATTTTTAAAGAGACGCCTCTAGGGTTCCAGTTAGTTTTCCATTATTTATTTAATATTTTAAAAGTGTTTTTTCCTATTGTGCATTGCCTTGGTAGTAAATAAATGTCTCCAGCAAGCAAACAAAGTCTTACTTCTCGTGATACTGGAAAGAATATGTATCTGTCCTGAGGATGAGTAGCTTTTAATGATTTTACCCTCCATAAATTTGCTTCAAAGCTTTTCAGAGTTTGGGACCACTGCTACTTCTTGTGGTAAGAAATTTTAAATTTGAACTACGTTTTCCCCAAACCCTTCAGATTTTGGGAGGGACCCTTTTCAGCAAAGGTGGAAGATAGGGAGATGGGCAAGCAAGACAGTCATTGCAGATCACTTCCACTTTCCCTGCAGGAGGACATGCGCCGGGGTCTAAATTCTTCCCCATCTCCCAAAACAAGATAATACAGTAATAATAAATATTAAAATACCTTAGTTAAATGTTTGTTTACACCTTGGCTCAGCCAACAACAACAACAACAACAACATTTATTTATAACACCCTTTCCACCAAAGGGTGGGATATCAAACATATATGATCAGAAACAAGAACAATAAACACAACACTATAAATATACATGAAATCCCCAACATCCCACCAGTCACTACCCATCTAAACAACCTTAGGCACAACTCAGCAGCTTAATCCGGCGAATCGAAGAAGAAGGTCTTCAACCCTTTATGAAACAGAGACTGTGGTCAAGGCCTTGGAAGGGCAGTTATGAAGAAACTATTTGTTTATTTAAAATATTTCTGTATTGCCTTCCAGCCCACAAGGGCCACTTTGGTTTTCAAAAAGATTAGCATGCAAACCACTCTGAAAATCTTTCCAGCTATACAGCATGATAGAATTGGCATCAATCAATTAAGCAGTCTTGTTTTCCTCTCCTGCTTAGTGTAAGAAAATATTTTCCTGACGTTCAGCTGAAATTTGCCCTCCTGTGACTTAAGGCCTTTAGGTGTAATTGAAGATACCAAGCAGCTGGTATTGTGGAAAGAACCTCCCCTATTATAAAACTAGAGATCCAGTGCAGTAAGAATAGACTGTAATGGACTAAGGCTGCCGAATTACCGTAATGCAGTTTGACACCGCTTTAACTGACACAGCTAAATGCTATGGAATTCTGGAATTTGTAGTATTGTGATACATTTAGCCCTCTCTGTCAGAGAGTTCTGGTGTCACAACAACACAAATTCCAGGAGCCCTTAGAATGGAGCCAAACTGTGTTAATTTTGCTGTGTGGCAGCAGCCTAGGTTAGTTTGTTTGGTTGTGTGCTGGTTGAGAAAATTCTTGAAGTTTTTGTTTTTTTCCTGTTGGACTACTTTATTTATTTATGTAGCACTTATTTTCAGCTGGCCTCTTGTTTGGTTCATAAAGGGCCTCGGCAG